TCCCCCACGCTTTCAGGAAATGAGAACAAGAATGAAATGATTGCGAGCAAAAACAAAGTCATAAACTGCCTCAAAATAATATTAATAATAAAAATTAAAAAATCCGATTAAAGAGGAAAAAAAAACAAGCTCCAGAAAAAAAAAGGAAAAAGATCACCAACGGGCAAAAAAATGTTGTGGCCCCAGCTTCTTTCAGATGAAAAATCAGGGAAAAAAACAAAGTCATCAGCTGCCGACTCGAGGGGCAATTTCGGTGGAAAGATATCTACCAGGAGGTACACCAAGGATGAGGACACGAGGCCAGTGGCTGACGTACAGAGGGGGATGAGAAAATTCTTCTCTGCGGTAAGGCTCCCCTTGTGAACACGAGATGAATAGCAAGGGACCAGCACCGCCCGCACCTGGACGTCTTCCAAGAAAACAAACGTTAACGACTTTTTTTTTATTTTTCTTTCTTAACAATCGTCCCGAGGCTCGAAAGCGGGGCATGCAATGCTGTGGAGCGGAGGCACGGCGTTTAAACCATAGAATGTAAGGTACGTTTCACAGGCGAAGTGTTCTACTTTGGCCGTGCGGGCGTCATGACTCTCGGGCCTCAGCCTGCCACATTTCTTCCCCACCAGCCAAAAGGTTTTAAGAAAAGAGCACCAGGTCATTTCGCTTTTTTTTTTTTTTTTTTTGGCACACAACACAAACCCGCCTCGGGAAAACTAGGCTCTCAAGTACTCGTGGTTCCAAAGTGGGAGGACTGCAAGAGGAAAAATTCACTCTCAGCATTCGACTCCATGTAAACGATTGATCCACGACTGACCGTTTAGTACATGTTCACTAAAACAGTTGTCCTTCTGACCGGTAAAACTTGAGTGCTAGGGTCTCGCTCCACTACTGTCCACTGTACAATTTTTCGGACATTTCTTGGACAGTTGTCAGAGCGAAAAATTGTACAGCGGACAGTGGAAAATGCGACATCGGTCCACTTACTGTCCGCTGTCCACCTCTCAAATTCGTGAGTTCACTACGGACGCAGTGATAGAACTACAGGACAGGGCGTCCAAAGGATTTTGTCCGCCCGGACGCTAGGTGCACTGTCCAAATTCGGGTCCTCACGGTGAGTCACTTGAAGGACTTTCCACTAAACGAATTTGCAGGCGGCTGGCTAAAATGTCCAACTGTGCTGCCGTTGTCCTTGTGACCGGTAAAACTTGAGTGCTATACGTTAAACGATTGATCTCAGACTTACCATGGTCAGAAGGACAACTGTTTTAGTACCAGGCGGCTGGCTAAAATGTACAACTGTGCTATACCGATAGCCGTTGTCCCTCTGACCATTAAAACTTGAGTGCTATACGGTAAACGATTGATCTCAGACTTACCGTGGTAAGAAGGACAACTGTTTAGTAACAGGCGGCTGGCTAAGATGTACAGCTGTGCTATACCGATAGCCGTTGTCCTTCTGACCGGTAAAACTTAGTGCTATACGGTAAACGATTGATCTCAGACTTACCGTGGTCAGAAGGACAACTGTTTTAGTAACAGGTGGCTGGCTAAAATGTACAGCTGTGCTATACGGATAGCTGTTGTTCCAACTTGTTTGAGAAGACAAGTCGAAAATTAATGTCCTTTTGAAGTTTTGGCCCTGCATCAGCTGTGCTAAACCCATAGTACCCGTTGCTTGACGAAACAACTCCAAAACTTAGTTAGCGATTGTTCGCGACTGTAAGTAAGCCCGCAGAGGGTTAGCGATTGCGACCTGGATGGACATAGTGTGAATTGTCAATCAAATATGTGTGTGATTGCAAGCCAGCCGGCAGATACAGGAAGAACTGTAGACGACCTCCACTGGTCGAAGGGGAAGACGGTCATGTCAGTCAATTGCTATATGTACGTAAGGGACACTAGGCTCCAGAGGCGGCAACAGGGTGCCCACAGCCGCACCCCAACCCGCCGCCCATAAGGTGATTGGGGCCGGGCTTGGGTCTTCCTATGCCTTCTTAGGAGGGCGGCAGGCGTGCGCACGTACCGGACGGGTCTGGGTCATGGGCAGGCCAATTTTTGCTCTGAGTCATCGAACGGGTGGATGACAGGGCAGGTCCATAATTCCTCTGGGTCACCCAGCCCGGAGACCCAGGACCACCCAAAAAAATCTCGCCCCCCCCCCCCCCCTTGAAAAAAAAAAAAAGAAATCCGCCCAAAAATAAGAGGATTTCATCAGCCTGTCCAGGGTGCAGGCGTGAGGTGGTGGCCCTAGGGGCACTGGCAGTCCGTTCGGAGCCAAAAACCGTGCAAGAGGTTTGTGTACATCCGTTCAGAAGCAAACAAAAAAAAGAAGCAAGCTCTACCCTGCACTGGTGGTCCACTGGGTCCATCCCCTCTCCTTTAAAAAAGAGGTGCGAGCGGATCTAGCCACAGAAGGCAGCTAGATCCGCCCACTTGGCCCCACTCAAGACCTCCGACATCTCTTGGCGGTGCCTCATACCTTTGCGCCACAGTGCAAGGCTGGTGGGAAGCGCAGGTGCAGAGGTGGCAGCCCTGGCTGCACAGGGCTTCATCAGCACAGTGCACGCAGGCGCGAAAGAGAGAGAGTAGCGGGAGGCATTGAGCCTATGAGCTGATGAGGCTGTGGCAACTCACGGGCAACCAAGACGACCCTCCGGAGACTTAGCAACAACCAGGTTAGTCTCCTTCTCTTTCTCTCACTTTTTTTTTTTTGGGAATCATCAAATGTGCTTGTTGTCATTGTGCAAGGGCTATGCAAAGTCTCTCTCTCTCTCTCTCTCTCTCTCTCTCTCTCTCTCTCTCTCTCTCTCTCTCTCTCACAACCAATCGAATGGAAGTGCTTTTTTTTTTTCCATTTCTCAATTGATGTGTGTTATTATTGCGCAAGGGCCATGCAAATCATCTCTGTTTCGCTCGCTGTGATTTGTACACGTGTTGAAATTGACAGTGCACAAATCCATTTGAAGTTTACCCTTCTTTTTTTATGTCTTGACTTGTGCTCATTGCCATTGCGCGAGGGCCTTGCGAAGTCTCTCTCTCTCTCTCTCTCTCTCTCTCTCTCTCTCTCTCTCTCTTGAAATCCTGAATGTGGTCCCTGATTCGCTTGGTCCCCGTCAGAAGGACGGGTTGGAGATGTTCAAGGTTCCGTTCGTGCAAGTTATAGACGAGGTAGTTGTTGCAAAATCATGCTGGCAATGAAATGGTAACAATGTAAGGAACAGGCACGGGTGGTTGCGGACGGGGAGGAAGACAATTAGGTGCTGAACATTCTCAAAGATTAGAATCTTATTTTCAATCAGTGCCAGTAGGATGCGGGCGGGTAATGATGTTCTTCCGGGTGTGGGTGGGTCTGGGTGAGGACTTTATCCGGCTGCTGGGCGGGTCGGGCACGGGGCTGGAATTAAAAAAAATGTTCGGTGGGTTCATTTTGAATCAGAAATTAAAAATCTTGGGTCGGGAGGGCAAGTGAGAAAAAAAATTTGGGCGGGATGGGTTAAGGGTGAGAAAAAAAAAAAAAACACAGAAACAACCCACATATGAAAGTCAACAGGAGTAGAAGCAACCCACATAAGAAGGTTGGAGTATACTAGATAGTAGCCGAAAAGGGAAAGACAGCATGATGCCTTAGCAGCTTCTTGTTTGCGAACCGGTAATCTGAGAGGATCCTATGTACACACCAATGACCCACACAGCCTGCATCTGATCCCGTCCACCGGTCGCATTCTAAAGACGGGCTGTTTTTTTAGTATTCCCTCAGAATTCTGGTGCTGGTGCAAGAGTTGTGGATGGGCAGAGGGGGACCAGGGAGGGGGGGGGGGGGGGGTTGCTTTCTCCTGTGTTCTCACAGACTCACCCTTGCATTTGCCGACCCTTGTCACCCTTGTAGATGCCGACCCTTCTCACCCTTGCAGATGCCGCGACCCTTTCTCCCACCTCTCCCATTCCCATCCCTTCATCTCTCTCCTCACCTCTCACCTTTCAAGGCCACTACGTGACGTTTTGTTGCCTGTACGTCTAGTCTGCACCTTGCTTTGTTCATCACTGCATTCCAGCCGAGATAGCCAGGCTACCCACTTTCATCAGAGCCTGGCAGAAGGGTACATGTGGACGGAATGGTTAGGGTGTGGAGGGGGGTATGGAAGAGAAGGGGGGGGGGGAAGGGAGGGAGGGAGTATTCACTATAGTGAAAAATACAATCGCAAAGTACGTACCCAATTGCCAAGCAGTGCTACCGCGAACAATCAAATGCCAGCACATGCAGACTGTTCCGTAGGCCCCCCCCACCAGCTTCAGCTACACGCCTGTTTCGCCACCCCCTTTCGTTACCGACATAACGTACCACCCAGTGGCACGAAGAAAAGACACCGGAAACTTGAAATGCATGACGACTCGTCGATGGTGCTCCAACGAAAGACGTACCTAAAACACCTTTGACCTCTCTTGTAAGATTAAGTTGTTTAACGACAAATATATCTTAAAATTCTAAAAGGTAACTAAATAACATATTCAAATTTCAAATACACGAAGAAGAAAGAAGAAAGAAGAAGACGAAAAAGACAAAAGAAGAAGAAGAAGAAGAAGAAGAAGAAGAAGAAGAAGAAGAAGAAGAATCCTGTGTTGTGTGCCTTTCATCACGCTTCAATTTGCAGTAGGCGAACCAACCAGTGGATTTGTGCACACATTCATAGTGGAAAGACTCGATAGATCCAAAAATACAAACATAATAAAATCAATTCAAAATAGCGAAAACAATCATTGGCCATTGGACTACAGCTTAAGAGCATACGAAAAAAAAACAAACAATTTGAGCACATGTTAGAGGAGCACAAAGAGGACAAAGAACAACCCATAAGAGTGTCAGGGCACACTCACACTAATACTTCTGGCATGTATTTGACCCGAACAACGACCAAATCCAGTCCAAAACTCCTAGTGTAAGCATGCCCTCAAAGAATCAAACTAATCCAGTCCAAAACTCCTAGTGTAAGCATGCCCTCAAAGAATCAAACTATCTTATTTTACTATGAGACGATAAAATAACCTCAGCTGTGTGCGCGAAACACACAGACAAACACATTACCAATCTACCATCCTCTTATAAGTGCCGAAAAGAATCGACCTATCTCCCATCCAATTGCCCTGGCCAGCCAAACATCCGTTCCTACTTTACTGCCACGTCATAATTCATGCATGTACATACTCTTCCCGTGCGGACATTTTTTTTTTTTTTTTTGTCGCTGAGAATCTCTGAAAAACTGGTTTTGCATGGGTGCCTTACCAAGAGTCTGACTAAGGTCGAGGGTTCAAACTTCAAAGCCCTTTTTCCTTTTTCGTGCTCGTCAGCTTCATTGCCTCGGTGGCAAATCGGATAGTTCAATTGTTGCGCATTCATTGCTTCACGACCGGCGAGAGAACGTACCCGACCCCGAGCGCAAGCGCAGCAATGAGCATATGAGTCAGCATGGACTTCAGAATGCTAGTTGACTGATTCCTCGTATCTGCAACTAGACCCCTCGACGGAACCGCGACAGCCTTGTGTAGTGACGACGTCGCCGAGTCCTCCACCAGCTTCGCCAAACTCTTCGACTTTTTCTTTCGTGTCGAGCTTGTGCTTGCCTGCGACTCGGCTGCAGCCAAACTTTTGCCCAGCAATCCCGCCGTAGAAGCGGACTCCATTTTCTGCTACGAACACAACGCATCAACCAACCCCAACAAGCGGACCCATGAGTTTGCAACTTTGCGCGTAGAGTAGAGTTACACAAAGCTCTACCGTCCGGTGACAATAGGGCTCCACTGCGCCAAAGCAGCTAAAAGGTACAAAGGGTCATTCAACATCAGTTGGCACACGCACAATCTTCCGCCTCCCCTAACAAATATCTCCGCCTGTTGATCTGAATAACCCCAAGGGTATAGACAGTTCAAAACATCTTTCTCATATTATTAAGCTCGCTAGCAATGAGATCCCTCGACAACATTATCCTTCCCTTCCGATCGTTTCCGTAAACATAAACATGAATTCTGCTTGGAACACCACTGTCGCCTGAGGCAAAATTGTCGGGCCGCATTTGCGGAAACAGACCTAGAAATACCAACAACCATCACGGGTAAGGCGTGCTGGAGCGGCAGGCGTTTCACCCTCGTAGGCCGAGCTGACCCGCGCCGGACCCGCTTGTGCACTGGTGCAAGCCCCCACCCGGGTGCAGCGCAGTGGCTTAAACCACCAGTACCCCTTGGCCTGGAGGTGCCGGAGGTGCTGCACTGTGCGCCAAGCTCTTCCGAACCCCCAGCAGCACACTTTTTTTCTTCTTCGGCTGGCATTGTTCTGAAATGTTGGGAGTAGGCAATGAACAAATATCTGCAACGCTGGGGTCGTGTACTGGTGGTTTGAAACCACCAGTACGCCCGACCCTTGTAGCACCGCCCTGCGAGCCAAGCTTTGAAGAACTGCCCGCGCGGTACTTTTTTTCTTTCTTGGCTCGTTGTGCCAACCATTATGGCCCGGTATCCCTGAGCCTCCAGAATTTTAGGAGTAGGTGATGAAGAAACCTTGCAAGACCGGGACTGTCTACTGGAGGTCTAAACCACAAGTATGTGCGAGTGTCTTTTTGCCGAGGTGGATTTCGCCTGCGCGCCGAGCTTTGCTGGAACGCCAGTGCGGCGTATTTTTTTTTTCCTTTCCTTTTTTTTTTTCTTTTTTTTTTGTGGCTGCCACCACCAGCCGTTTTGGTCCGGGCACACTGTTCGACCAAAATCTGCAGATTGGCTC